GACATACTTAAACCGAGTAGATAATCTAATATTATTTTTAGATAATAGTATGTCGGGTTTTTTTTATCTGTTCATGTCGACTTGAATTATTGAAGTCCGATTAATTTATCTTTAATCGTATTTGAGACGAGTGGAAAAAATAAATATCGAAATTGGTTGGTCGGATTTATGTACGATCCAGATGGAATATATATATACATATATATATATATACATACATATATATATATACATACATATATATACATACATATATATATATATACATACATATATATATATATACATACATATATATACATACATATATATATATATATATACACACACATATATATATATATATACATACATATATATATATATATATATATATATATATATATATATATACATACATATATATATATATATATATATCATAAATTTTTTATAATAAAAAGTTTTTTATTAATTGCTTAGCCTTTATTTTTGCCTTCTTAGAATGTTGCATCAATGATTGGCTCAGCTCTGCTTAGTTTCCAATTGAATTCGTAGTCATGTTGGGATGAGGGGAACAGATGTTGATTTTATAGGAATGAAGTCAGAATTGGGTGACGACATGCAATTGGATCCACCACTCCACTCCCCAACTTCTCCATGAAATGATAGATTGAGGTCAAAATTGGGTGACGACATGCAATTGAATCCACCACTCCACTCCCCAACTTCTCCATGAAATAATAGATTGAGGTCAAAATTGGGTGACGACATGCAATTGGATCCACCACTCCACTCACCCAACTTCTCCATGAAATGATAGATTGAGCTCACTAAGAAAGGAATATTTTTATGGCATCTACATCGTCTCTTTTTTGTTCCTTGCACTCCACCTTATCATGCCAAAGCAAAAAAGAGGAAGCAATAAGAGGGCACGTAGTTGCCACTTAAAAGTTAGCAAAAGCACAGAACATATAATACTAGACTCGATAGAATTGGCATGAGTTGTTGTTTGCTTTCAAGTTGACTTATGATGTCTGAATATGGTCGAATCCGATCCGATAAGACATGCATCTAATTATTCATTTATCATATTACAATCGAGCTTAATCGATCGATTGGATAATAATCGATCGAATTTTAATGATCAAAATCTTATCTTTTATATCCCATTTTAATGATCTTTTCCCAACTCTATTTTATAACCTTCAACATTTTATTTTATTTTTAAAAAATATTTTATTTATTTATTTATTTGGATTCTGATAATTATGATCGATCGCTTATAGTGGGATCCACGCCGCCAACCAATCTTGACGCAACAAGTGGATGGAGACGCTTGCCATCATCATTCAATGCACCAAGTACATTATTTTAGGGTTTGAAGAATGATTACACCTAAGCAAAAGGCCCAAGCTTTTGGATTCGAACGAGACTAACTTGGCAGAGACTTGGCCATATAATGCATACTTAATAGTTATGTACATATATATACATATTTCTCAGCTTTAGAGCTTTTTATTGGTCAATCTTTGTTGACTATTTATTTGTTGCGATCAAAAGCGTGATGGGATTGGATTGGGCACATGTTGGGAATTGGCTTCACTCTCGTTCGAGGAACACCAATCCATTAAGCAAAGTGGAAAGCGGAGAGCGGTCATAAAGCTGCACCAGTCTATGTTGAGCAGTGCAACAAAGATGCCTGTAATTATTGTATCTCCTCTCTCTCTCTCTCTCTCTCTCTATCTCGCACGCGTTAAGATGGAGAAGAAAGAAAAAGTAAGAAAAGGAGATGATATTAAAGTACGCTGTGGGAGTTCAATAATTGTGCTAATCCTCGTCTCTTTTTGACCATGTAATCTGGCATTCACAAAAGTAATAATTACTAATAATTCAAATAAATTAAAATATGTAGGCAAAAAATAATGAGACACTATCGCCCAATGTTCTTCCCATTAGCATAAACCAAACAAGAGATGATAAGTATAAGTTGATTCATGTGCTTTTAAATCTGATTTAGTTATTCGAGTGTTAATTATAGATTTTTTTTTATAATTAATTTTTTTTTAGTATCTCGATTTTTATATTTTTAAAAATTATCTTGGAATCTTCGTATTTACTTAAGTGAAATATTTAATTTTATTACTTCTCACGTCGTCGAATCTATTGACGAAAATATCAGATATATTCAGTAATAAATCAAAGTGAGATAGAATTAGTAAGTAACTTATGATATTCCTGTCTGAAAAGTTAATCATATGAAAAAAAATAAAATTAAATATATTATCTTCATAAATAAATAAAAATTAATATAAAAAATATAATATATAATTAATTCAGATAACATGATAGCACATTGTCACTTCCTCGACGTGCCTTACCATATGCATATTGGGAAGCACAGAGTCGTGGAGATGTCAACGTGTCAAATGGTGTTTGCGTGGATGATATGTATTCGTCGTCTCGATATCACGTCAATCCCAAAAACAATCCCAGCCGGTGGAAAATGCTTCGTGTGCACGTAACGGAATGGCTTCGATGCGGATTCCGTTACGATCGTCGTGATGTAGCGAATCAGCGATGATAACAAAGTACCCATTAGGTCGGGTAATACCTGACAAAGCTCTTCTTCGTACGTCATGAGATCCACACAGATAGCTCACACGTGGATTGTCATTACCGTGGAGACGTGGACGCGTGTTGGAAGGGTCGTGTACTATCTCATCTCGTGTTCCATGTGACCCTCCCTCCAATGATTGAAGATGGAAGAATTTTAACTCGTGATAACAATACGACTGTATATAAAATAATATAGTCCATACAAATGATTCCCACAGATGGCATTTATACGGATTGATAGATTGAACGAGTACGAGCACGGTTTCCTCGTGGAAGACTTGGTAAAAGGAACGTGCTCGCTTTGGAGCCATAGGTCAATTTTGGCTCGACACACGATGATGACGAGGCAGAGGATGACAACGAAGGAGTTGTGTTTGGTTTTTTTATGGCGAGATGCATCCGTGTTCCCATCCTTCAACCTACGATATACAACCCAATAAATACTTCTCAAATTATATATATATATATATATATATATATATAATGTAAGAAAGCATGTGAAACTTATGGTTTTTTTTATATCCTTTCGAATTTCATTTATTTAAAAGGAATATAATTACACACCTAATTTTTGCCTTCAAGTTAATAAAAAAGCAAAAAATAGTCTCTCTCCAAAATTGATAAAAGAAAAGTATTGTTGAAATTAATAAGAGATATTTTTTATAGTATTTGAAACAAGAAACATCATTTGATAGAAAGAAAAAAAATATTTAAAAAAAATAAAAAAAGGATAAATTCTTGAAAAAAAATGCTAACTTTTGAACATTCCCATAGAACATCCCAACTTCAAAAAATTTCGTATAGATCCCATTTGTTCATGAATGATAATTTTACCATTGATCACCTCCATCGTTAGTCAATTTTACAATTGGTTACCTTAGCACACCAACTATGTCAACTCTGCATGTTGGTCGACGAGCTAGCAACGCTAACCCTAGTCGCCTTCATCACTTTCATTACTCGTAAACCTTCCTTATCGTCGATCATAAGTGAGGAAAGAGGAGGTGCAGCTTACATGCCCTTGTCTCGTCGTTGGTCATTTAGGAGGGGTTATCATAGGTGAAAAGGAGGGGGGCGTGACCTATACACCCTCGTAATCGATCGTGAGTAAGGAATGACGGTGGGCAAGCCCACGTACAAAGATGAACAAGAACAACGAATGATTGTTTAAAACGAACAGAGATGAAAGTGATAATAAGCCGAACAAAGATAGAGATAAAAATATTTTTTTTCAAACAAAGAGAATGTTATAAAATTTTTAAAAATTAAAACATTACACAAGACTTTCTAAAAATTTAGATTTTTTTAAAAATTCGCTCAAAAAATTTTCAGAAAAATCGTTCAGAAAAGAAAGAAAAAAAAAGTAAAAAAGCTTACGTGGATATTAACGGGAGGTGGATTACGGCGATGACGGTAGCAGTACAGTCCTTCCAAAAAAAAAAAACCAAACAAAGCGTCGTCGGTGTGGGTTTTTTTTCCGGCGGTTGGAGCGATACCGACATGAGCGGTTGGAGGAAGGGAGCGACAGGAGGGTACGTTACGGAGAGAGAAAGGAAGAGGACGAGACGTTACTCCGTCTCATCCTCCATCACTACACCCCGAGCTCTCTCCCCAACTGCTTACCACTCCCATCCTGCTCCTCGTCACACTTAAATGCATATAATAAATATAAAACAACATACCACGAATGTTAGAAACCAGTCGCTGACCGAGCAATCGGTGAGAGGATACCGTCGACACGCCAACAAACTCTCTCGCGATTTTGAGAGCGAGATGTCATCAACCTGATGGCACCGCGGCGCCGGATGCGACCATCTCAGAGCCGTCGAACCTCGTCGATCAAAACCATGCCGAATCGAATTAAATGGAGTTGGACGTTTCAGAAGGGAACAAAAAGGAACCAACAGCCTCCCCATACCTCTGTGACGCACCGTACTGCGACCGCGTCAGAGGGCCATTCGAGAAGGGGAAACGCGAGTTATTCCTGCGGTTGGAGTGGGAAAAGATTCACTTGCGCGCATCAGTATTTAGAGAAAGAAAAGAAAAAACAATTAATGCAATTCTCTTCGTACCCGGTCGGTAGTTCGCTGACGTACTCGCCTTGTGGATGGAGAAGTCGATGGGCCCCAGCAATCAACCTGGGACGGACCAGCTGTGAGCAAGATATTTATTATATGGCAAAGAGGCGCGAAAAGAGGAGAGGTAGAGACGGCGACGCGTGTTCCTCATCCAGCTGTACTCAATCAAACCGCCTTTCTGGTGGAGACCGGAGAGGCGGTCGGGTACGAGTAACGTCCTGTAACCGGTCGCGCTAACCGGTTACTCCCGGTATCTTCCCAACTCCCCTCCCCTCTCTCTCCTATATAAACTAACCCCGGTTGTTCTCATTTCTCTTCGTCTTTCCCTATTCCTCTTTCATCTTCGGTAACTCTCTCTCCTAAATTAAACGCAAGAAAAGAGGCGATTCGGAGCACCTTCTGCTCTCAGATCCATCGCTAGGGCTTGTGATCTTTATTCTTTTATTCTTCTCTAGTTGGGGGTCGTCGATCGAAGGATGTCGTCGATGGTGAGGACTTCGGTAGTTGGGCGGAGTAAGGGGATGGATCGGATCAAGGGGCCGTGGAGCATCGAGGAAGACGAGGCGCTGCGGCGACTGGTGGAGCGGCATGGCCCGAGGAACTGGACCTTGATCAGCCGGTCCATCCCTGGGCGTTCCGGCAAGTCGTGCCGCCTCCGGTGGTGCAACCAGCTCTCGCCCCAGGTGGAGCATCGCCCCTTCACGCCGGAGGAGGACGAGACAATCATCCGCGCCCATCGCCGGTTTGGTAACAAGTGGGCCACCATTGCCCGCCTCCTCTCGGGCCGCACCGACAACGCCATCAAGAACCACTGGAACTCCACCCTCAAGCGGAAGTGCAGCAGCCCGACCGCCTTTGCCGCCGCGGCCGACGGCGCCGGGGGATCCGCCTTGGCGCTGGACCGCGACGAGGAGATCGCGGCGCGGCCTCTGAAGAGGGCGAGCAGCGTCGGGCCAGTACCAGCGTCCGCTAGCGCGCAACTTTGCCTGAGCCCTGGGAGCCCAACAGGGTCGGATTTGAGCGACTCCACCCACCATGGCCACCCGGCAGCGGCGGCGTCTTGCATTTACCGTCCAATCCCCAGAACCGCCGGCATCACCGTACCCCCTTCCTCTTCTCCTTCCACTGCCACCTTCCAAGAACATGACCTTCAGATCGAGGCGACCGGCGTCTCCTGTACTGCGTCACCATCTTCCTACGCCAAGGACGATCCTTTGACATCGTTGACCCTATCGCTCCCTGGAACGGATCGAACAGTCACCTCCAACCAGATCCACCAGTGCCCTGATGCAAAGACCGGCGACGATCGGCCGCCGCAACGCCCGTTCCAATTCAGCGCCGAGTTGTTGGCGGTGATGCAAGAGATGGTCCGCAGTGAGGTGAGGAGCTACATGTCCTGTTTGGAGCAGAGCGGCATCACGCGCGCCCTTCAGCCTCCTGAGGCGGCCATCTGCGACGCCGCCCCCAAGCGGATTGGACTCGTGAACATCGATTAGATTATCAGTCCTTGCTTTAGCACTGAACAGCGTAGAAGAAAGGCGGCGACGTCGAATTTATTTTTTGTTTATTTTCCCTTCTTCCCTGCTTTTTTCTTGTTCTAAATCCGTCGCGTTCTGTTCGAACCAATAAGCTGATGTGATCTATAAGACATGTTCAAAGAAATAGATAAGAAAAAAGAGCCTTTTGTTTCTGTTTCGTTTAATGTGGTCGGTCGGCAGAGCAGGAAGAACTGCCGTCAAAAGATGTGTTGTGGCTGGCGACAATTGACCGAGTGCCATGGTGATTTAAGACTTGGGGGCAAGCTGTTTCTTATCGTACTCTGCAGTTCTCAAGACAGGATTACCTTCTACGACTCTCGGAAGACTGAAACAACGGCGGCTCCACGGATGTACCAGTTGCAAACATTAGACCAACAGTGAGATATTTTTCGATGGGTCGCGTTACAGAGACGGCTTAAGAGCAACAATAACAAATTACACTGATTAAGAACAACAACAAATGTCTTTGTATACCTCATGTTTGGAGTTTGCTCACTGTGGAGTCTTGATTAGTCTTCACAGTTCGACCGTCACATCAGAAGCAGATGGAACAGTCAGACACTGCAGCACTACTACCTGCCAACAAATGTATAACAATTGACGACCTGCTTAGAAAAAGACATTTCTTTTAGGTTCAACGGCTGACGAAATCAAAGGAAGAACTTTGACGAGAAATTTGGGGACATGTCAAATCGTTGGGTAACTGACAGCAAAACAAACTGCGTAAGACACAAGACATCTCGTCACTGCAATAGACTAGCATTTGATAACAAGTCATTAGAACATCACATCAGTGCCGCCCACAATATTAAGGCCACCGACGACTAAAAAAGTCAAACGACATTATCAACAGAGTTGCTGCATAATTACTTTTTAAGTTTGTCACGTCTGATGACCAATTTTACTTGCACAATTAACAACAAATTGAGCTTCAATTTAGTTATAAATCTTGAGAGCTTACATGAGTTACTCTTCCCCCACGATGAAAACACATCTTGCTTCACCATATAAAGGGCTGGCCAAACCGGACCAGACAAGAGCCGGATGAAAATAAGAGCTTCGACAGCTCGCTTTTGAGTGCGAGCCATAAATGCTGTAACTTCTGTTTGAAACGTTCTGTGATTTCATCGAATCCTGTGCAACCATCATATGTAAAAAGAAGAAACGTTCTGTGATTTTTCTGCAGTACCTTAAGACACCATGAAAAGTATGAAATTTCTACCAATTTTTATATTTCTACAGAAATATCCTGCTCTTGATCAGGGAAAAAGAGTACCAAGGAACAGCTTAAAAGCAAAAAAAGACAATAGGCATCACCTTCGAAAGGAAACCAAATCCAGACATGAAATGAGTCACCATGTACAAATATATACATAACGTAAAAGCCTTCTTATGTTTGCATTACATCAAATAAGGGTTGGCTGGCAAATACACTTGAAATATCGGAACCTTTTAAGCAGAAAACAATTATGCTAAGCCAGGCAAACAGATTGCTCGACAAAAAATTAACTTGTTTGCTTAAAGAAGAGCGATGAGGAATAAAAGTCCCATATATGCATGAATTTCCAATCAGCAGCCAACTTTAATTTCAAGCATTATGTCTCTTAGTCCAAAGACCAGAGCTCTCTGGTCATAGAAGGATTTATGGTAAATCATTTGAGTTCAAGAAGAAACATAAAACACCATAGAATTGGAATAGGAAGTATTGATTTCTATATTTCAGCATCGTACCTTCTCTGCAAGAGAACCCATGAAGACTCATCTATGGAAAACTCATTCGGAGACGATATTTCTCTACTGCTCAGAAAACTATCCAAAACCCATTGTCAATCAGAGAGGCAAGCTCTGAACACCCCTGAAAAGTAAGATATATAATTACAGAGATGTGTGAATCCTAGGCCTCACTAATTTCTTAAACCGCGGGCTGCAACTAGCGATGCCAAACCATAGAATCATGTCTCCGAGATGGTGATATAAAACACCAGGTTATGGCATGTATTTGCATGTGTTAATGCTCACAGAAATATGCAGAACAATATATCAAAGAATACTATGCTCCAAACTTGCCTAACACTATAGAAATAACTTATTTCTGCAAAATGGAAACCATAAGAAGCATAAAATAACATTATTGGAAAAATAAAGTATAAAAGCATTAGTAAAACTATTAAAAGTCCCTTTTACATGGAACATAAACAAGCATACTACAAAATCATAAGTATAAACAAATAAGAAACAAAGTCTTAAAAGATAGGGAAGTCATACTTGAGAATTTTGCGAGTTGCTTCCTCTTCCCCGACATCATTAAGTAATTCAGACAAAAATGAATAAATATGTAAAATAAATGAAACTTCACACACGCAGCTCTAGCAATAAAGCGAGTAGTGACTAAGTGCATCAAACCTACTCACGTGGTGTGGATAAAACAATTTCTTTCTTTTTTTTTTGGTCAGTGTGCATGATAAAATATTAATTAATACTGTGAACAAATAATTTGGCCCTGCTTATCATGTATCATTTACATCTACAGGCATCATTAGTTAGCTAAACATCAGTGGCTTTAAATATGCACTATAAGTGCTTCTCAAAGACTGAGCACATTTGAGAAACCTAGCTTTCTTCACATTATTATCACATGTGTTATCATTTATGACGTCACCCTAATTCATAAGCTAAATATATCAATGCTGCTTCTCTTTTCATATATTCACTCAACCAAAAACTTCTAAATTCTATAATGTTCTCCAGAACTCAAGTTCAGAATTAATCTCATGTAAGTTCTCATAACAATACAAAACCACTATCTGCAAACAATATAGAACTTGGACAACAATTGAAACCAGAAAATATTTTTTATGGATGATCTTTCAAAAGCATGGAAAATAGTCTAAAAACAATAAGCTTGATATACTTGTCATTAGTGCATAACTTCAGTAATTTAATATCTTTTATGTTGTCCCCAAAGAGGAGAATGCATCAAAATTTTTATTCTTGGCAATAGCGCCAAAGAAAAAGACGCTAATTTTTATGCACTAATGAACAATATTAAACCATAAATGAAGAGACGAGAAGTAGAAGCACCATAAGTAGCCCTTAATCTCATAAAAATATAAAGGAAAAAAGAAATTAGAGATCCTAAAATCAATTAAGAAAAGATAACAGCCATGGCAGCAAAGATGTAAGTTAAAATAGGAGGCCATCTATCATGTCACAATTACTTCAATGGAAACAAGGAATCTAGTAGATAAAATATAACTCCGAAGTAGAAATATCAAGATTATCCAGAAGGGGAATTCATTCACCAACAGTAAAATGCATCTAACCAAGACAGACATGTCTTACATAATTCAAGACTTACTTATAGTGGGCTTCTGCAGATTAAGACAGTCTAGTTCATTTACTTATCTCCTTTCTACATTAGTATTAGCCCCTTACAAGGGCTATATTCTAGATTATGCAGTATCCAGTTTCTAACTGCACACATGACACCTTCCACTCAAAAACTTAGTGTCTATTCAAGTGCAGGAATAAATGTTATATATGCTTCCACACATTTTATCTGATGGACACAAGTGAACACATTATTCTCCTTAAGATGTCCCCACAATTCTCATCCTACATACGATCTGGTAAACGTTCTCATACTATATTCCCTGATTTTAGCTTCCCTTTATTTGTGAAGTTCCTGATCCTCAAATTGATGATTTGCCTCCCAAAAAAATTCAAGTCAATAATGCTTGTACACATAAAAAAATTTCCAGGGCTACATCCTTGTTTTTTTTCTTTTTCACCTGAAAACAGGGCTACATCTTTTATATGCACACCACTTCCACTTTTATTCGATAGCATACTTGAATCACACATATGTTTGCATACATATATTTGACTTCTAACACAGAAGATAACTCGTGTTATAATTCAGTTCACTCAGTTCAGTAAACCAGCGTCCATGTCATGCATACACAAAACATCTTCATAGTAATTCTTGCAACCTAAGCTCAATACACTACAGCCTTGGATAAAAAGTGATCTGTCATCCTAACTGTATACTACGTCCATAAATCACTATCAACCACATGATGAGAAACCAAATTCCGTATTCGTGCTTTCTATAACCAAGATTCAAAGATCCAATTGCAGATATCTGTTTCCTATGACCAATTGTTGAACCAGAATTAGTCCATTTCTTGCCACGACGCCACACCAAGAAAGAAAAAGTTGAGACACATCGATTCAAGATCGTTACCATTGATCGCAAAGCATCTATCGGTGACCACAACGATGGCACAATCAAATCTCACACATGGTCGCCACGGAGGCAAGAGAAGATGACACAAGGAAGAGGTCGGAAACCCTAATGTATAGGACTGATGGAGACCTTTGCTTCGTTGATGCGAGGGCAGTAATAGGGGAGGGTGTTGTTGGCCTAGGCGAAGGCACAGGGTTCAGTGGCCGCGTCTCCTCCGCCGTCTCCCTCATGGTGGTCTACTCTTCGCCGCTCGCTTCCCGTCATCGCACTCCCCATCACTTCCTTCTTTTCACCTCACAGCCCCTTTGCCCCCGCCGCTTAAAATTAAAATTTGTATATTCAAATAAATAAATATATATATATATATATATATATATATATTTTTTTTGGAGGGATAGACTTTTTTTCAATTTGTAAAAAATAAAAATATGAAATATATATATTATTAAGGAAAAGGTCGTTAACGTCTAGGTCAGTTCGATATGGTTTGCACTTATGTGCACAGTATTGTCTAGACTATCTCACTTGTATGAAGAGGTTTTTCGACTTCATCTGTCGCACACACTTAATTAGTAATTCGATATCTTAAAATATGTATTTGAATAGTTTGAAAAAAAGGTAGAGCTTCCCCTTGTTCGAAATATGTTTTTATAACTTAAATGATGAGAATGTTGTTTGAGATTGTTTGTCATAACGGAAGAGAAGAAAGTTTGTGATTGTCTTCCTTGTCATAATAAATGAGAAGTAAACTTATGTTTTCCTGCTTTGAATCTTCGTCTAGTAGATGGATGGAGGGTGACTTGGATCTCGCGTCCCAACCACGTGTCAGTTGATGGTAGATTCCCTATCATTTATCTTCATAAAGGCATGCTTCAAAACTCTAACAAAAGAGGTTTGAAGCGCGTCATTTAATTTATGCGGAATGGGAGTGTTCGGGATCTCATATTACAGGTCGGGTTTTCTCGATTCACATATCTCAAGCACGTTGGACTAACGTTTCTACCATAGTGGATTTCTCTTGACGCGGGTTGGGTTTCCCGACTCATGCGTCCCGGGCACATTTGGCCTTGCACCTCTACCATAGCAGAATTTTCTTTACATGGGTTGGGTTTTTCGACTCATACATCTTAGACACATTTAGCCTTGCACCTTTATTATAACGAATTTCTCGTTACACTAGTCGAGTTTCCCGACTCATGCATCTTTGAAGCATTTGGCTTGGCCTCCGCCGTAGCAAATATCTCTTTATGCTGGTCAGGTTTAATCGACTCATGCATCTTGAGCGTAGTTGCCATGGTGCCTCTACTGTGGCAAATTTACCATAGCACGAGTTGAGTTTCCCGACTCATGCATCTCGGGTATATTTAATCTTGCGCCACCGCTATAGTGGATTTCTCTTATGTGAGTCGAGTTTCCCGACTCATGCGTCTCAAGCTCATTTAGCCTTGTGCCTTTGTCGTAGCAAATTTATTTTTATGTAGGTCAAGTTTTCCAACAAACTCGTCTTAGGCACATTTGGCATTGGGATTATGCCGTAGCGGATTTCTCTTTATACGAGTTAGGTTTCCCGACTCACAAGCGCACTTGGCCTTGCGCTTCTATCGTAGCAAATTTCTTGTTAAGCACATCTAGTTTTCTAACTCACACGTCTTGGGCGCATTTGACCTAGTACCACTGTTGTAACGGATTTACCTTAGCACAGGTCAGGTTTCCCAACTCATGTATCTCAGGGGCATTTGGCCTTGCACCTTCACCATTGTAGGTTTATCCTTGCATGGGTCAAATTTCCTAACTTACATGCCTTGAGCTCATTTGGCCCTACACCACCATGATGGGTTTATCCTATTGTGAGTCAAATTTTTTGACTCACATGCCCAGTTCATTTGGCTTTGCGTCTCTATCGTGGTGAGTTTATCTTGGCATGAGTCAGATTTCCCGACTCACACACCTAGGGCTCATTTGGCCATACACTGTCATGGTGAGTTTATCTTAGCATTGGTCGGATTTTTTAACTCACACGTCTCGGGCTCGTTTGGCCCTATGCCTCCACTATTGCTGGTTTATTCTAGCATGGGTCGGATTTACCTACTTATGCCTTGGGCTTATTTAGCCCTGCACCTTCATTGCGGTAGGTTTATTTCCCAACTCATAAGTCTCGAGCTCATTTGGCCCTGTGTCGCCATGGCGGGCTTCAAATTTTTTTCTCTATTGTAGCGAATTTCAAGTCCTCTCTCTATCATGATGAATTTCAAATCTTCCTATCGTGATGGGCTGTAAATCTTTCCTCCATTGTGATAGATTTCAAGTCCTCTCTTCGTTGTGGTGGATTTTTGATCTCAGTGTCATGGTGGGTTTTGAGGTCTTGCTCCGTCATGATAGATTTTAGGTCCTCTCTCTATCATGGTAGGTCTCAGACCTTCCTGCTATAGTAGGCATCTTGTGATTTACCCCCGACGAGACACTTATTTTGATCTTGATAAGAGAGAGATAGGTCTCCTCCTTCTAAATCCTCTCTTTTCATAGGGTGAGGTTCATTCCTCTATCTGAGCCTTCAGAGTCTATAGTCTTCAAAGCCTCGAGAGTTTTTAGCCTCACCCCGAGGACCTCATTAGGAGTGTCTTCCCCCTGGCCTCGGTTCTCGACATAGTGGATCCATCTTTGAGTCGTTCATCCTGATGTCAGTTCTACTCTTTTGTCTCAAGTCGGGATGTCTCACCTCTTTCATAAGTTCTTCCCGATCCTCTAATCACCAGTCAGTCGAGATTTGTGCTTCATCTTCAGACAATCAAAGAGTGGAGGAGGTTGGGTCCTCTTCATCGGAAGGGGCTTCTCTCGTGATCCCGAGGGTTCTTTGGGACTTAAGATTCTATGAGGAGTTCTTATGATTATAATTCAGTGGTGAGCGCATCTCTCTTAGATCACCTTTGAATTAAGTATCTTATCTTGGCCGAGTTCGACCTATAAGTTCCTTGACCCAATCTTTCTGCTTATATCGTGACACCTTTGAGGCGGGCTTTTGTCTTCTTTTTCACCCATTAATAGTGTTATGCTTTCAATGGTGGGAAATATCATCTTTCTAAATGACGCTCAACTCATTGCGCTACTTGATAGTATTCATTGGGGAATATCGGCATGTCGATATTACTTCGACCTACACCTTCTTTGTCACTTATTTTTTTATTATGCAATGGGAGAAGTGGCTACTGCATAGCCGCTCGGGGGGGTCTTCAAGGTCAACGATGCCCCTTCTAATAATAAGAGTTAGAAGGAGCACTTCTTCTTTGTGAGTTCAAGTTAAGATTGGGGGTTCAACCTCACCTGGTTGTCACATTACATTGATAACACCCCTCCTTTCCTATTAGACGAGAAAGTAAATCAAGTGCTTCAACTAAGGGATATACTTTCTTCCTTTGAGACAGTCCAAAAGATGGATGAGGAGTAGCTAATCAATGTGAATACCAGCCCGACTCCTTTGAGTATGACTCAAAATTCTCATCACTTTACTTAACATTTATTTTTAATCTTCAACTTTGTGATTTGGATCTTCTATGGACATAAATCTACACATCTTGAAAAGGAAGCAGCCTGGCTTTTTATTAGGTACAGCAGAGCCCCGTTCGGTCCCAACGGCCTCTTGTGAGTCATCGATAGAGGCATTGAACCCCCTTAGTATGGCTATCATAATAGCATTGACCGACCAAAGAAGAAGCACAATGCCATAGCAAAGAGGATCCCATGCCCCCAAAGGGGCGATATGCCCGAAGAGCTAACTTGAGAAATAGAGCCTTCCCTGACTGCAACACTAGCGCCTCCAAGAAGCCAGAGTTCTAGGTCGAGCTCGAGAAAAAGGTGGAGCATGCTGAGATTAATGCTAGACTTGTGCAGGGGGAAGCCCCTGCCCTTCATTGTCTTGTAAATGGCTGACCTGTCGGATCCAACCTCAAAGATCGTTGTAGCCCCGGTGGGAAGATATAAGGGATATGCAAAAGGTGTGGGATAAAGGCCTAGCTGTGGAGCAATATTACTATAGGTCATTGTGCTCGAGGATGATGAAGCAGCTCTACCGCTCCCCCTCGAAGGTCCTGAACGACACATGCTATCGAAATGAAGTGATGGTAAGTTAGGCTGCTACCATCTCCCTCGAATTTGCTTCAATGACTTATTTATTTTTGATTTGTAGTGTCACCACCATGTGACGACTCTCATTGATAGTGTCCAAGATGCTGGCATTATCATTCACCAATAGTCCACTATGATTTTCAATCTTCGAGCTAAGATCAAGGAGCTAATAAAAGGGGGAGCCTCCACTGTTGTCGTCGAGGCGAAGGCTTGAGTGGTCGAACTAATGCATCAACTGGATGACATTGAGCAGTGCGTAGCTGGCCTCACCAATTGTGTGATGGAAGATGAGCTTCTACGACTCACCCGAGAGCTGGATATGATGAAGACAAGTAGCTCAAAGCTCACCGAGGAGTTGGACATGGTGAAGATGTGTAACTCGAAGTTCGTCGAAGAGGTTACATGGCTACTAAGAAGGCCTGCAAGCTAAAAAGAAGCATCGGTGGGCAAACGAAACTGTATATTAGAGTACCAATAGGATAAACTACCTCCTCAACTCCGACATCCCATCTTGATTCGTCAAGCAAAACATTATCGATCGATCTGTTGACCCGTTGCCATCTCATTCTCTTTGAGAGTTTCAAAGGTCTTAATTTCAACGAGAAACACGAAATCGATCACCAATATGATAAAAGCAAAGTTAAAAACCTCTTATTTGTGGCCATGGTTAATGTGTCGTTAGCAGGGTGTTATTATCGGCGTCACCTTCTGTGTTGGTTTATATACCTTCAAGTGAGGGGTTTTAGGTTGACCAGAAGAGTTAAGTCCACCATTCCAACTTTGCAAAGTTCCGACCAAGGAAACCTCGAGGTTATTGCACGAGAATTGAATCTTAGAAGCATGAAATCAAAAGTTCAATCCAAAAGGTGAAGAGAATGTAGTAATCTTGGTGTTGAACGCTAAATGAGCTTTTAAGCCTTGTTCTATGAGATCAAGGTCGAAGCGTTGACCAATGTATATGACCGGCTGATGCGGAACGCTTTGTTTGAGAGGAAGATGACATGGGGATGTTGGTCGTATATGAATGATTGATGGGCGATGTGATTCGTGCGAGGAGATCGGATCGTCAGAGTTTGATCGGGCATCGGCCTGCTCGATTTGACCCGACTCAGGTCCGGTCGCGAGACCAGATTGCGTGCACCCTCGGGCATGCTTGAGGTCAAACGAGGCCAGCGTCGATGCCTCAGC